ATTCGAAATGTTGCGGTCTAAATGGATTGACCTGACCGATTAATAAATATTGACAAATTCTTTAGTGCTTCGACTTTATTATAGTAATTTTAAGAAATAGTAAATATAGTAAGTATTAAAATTAAAGAACGAGAAAAATTTAAAAAATATGTTGCGTTTCATTAAATTATTAGTGTGTCCGTTTATCCATATCAGCCAAAATTCCCCTTTGCGTAGTCGGACCATATTAAAGGGATCGAAGAAATATTTAAATTTTGCATGTAAACAGAACAGAACTCTCCAATGCTTCCCCTTACGAGGATCGTGCCAAAGAAGTCTAATGCCGTATATGTAAAGAGTCTTTCAAAGGAAGCAAGTCTGGCAGATGGTAGAGGCACCATATGTAAGCCTTTGTGATTTTTCATCTTTGGCATATCTTTTGGACTTTCTTAAAAAGAACTCGCGAACATGAACTACAGAACTCTTTCTGTATCAGGTTGATGACAGAGATTGTGATAAAATTTTGCGTGATAATCCTTGGCAAACAATTTAAAGATAATTGCTCTAAATCTGGGTTGATTGGGTTGGGCCTAAAATGGGTTGATTTTGTGGTTGATACGCGTCCAGATGTGATGGCCGGTTTGCGTAGATTTAGAGCTATTTATGGGTTGAACTTCTTTATGTGGATGTTGTGAGCCATGTGCATCTTGGGAAAATGCCTTCTCTTAAGTTTCCGTTAATGATCGTGATCATATCTGGACCGAAGCTTGCCTGACATGGATAGTCTTAGCTACTTCTATAATTTCTGGAAGTAGAAGTGGGGTTCTGTTGTTCCGCTTGGTGCTGAGTAGGTCTGCGTCGGGAAGAGGTGTTCTACAATGACTTTTATTATGGCTGCTTCTTAGGCCGTTCCCCACGGATCTTGCTCTGCAGCGTCGTACATTTTAAGAAAGCACCTTGTTTTTCCCTCCTTTATCAGCTTCCTCAGGATCTTTCTTTTTTCAGCAAAGTTCTCTCATTTCTGTTCGAGTTCCGGCCTTTCTCTGGTTCTTTGATGCAGCCTTATGACACTCTCTACGCGCTATCTCCAGGGACCCCCAGAGCACCATGAAGCCTTGAGTGTTCAGCAGGGCTACGTCTAAAGTCGCAAAGGTCTCTTGGAGGGTGCGACCAGTGGCGTTGGCGCAGGATGAGCCATTTTCCTCCGCGCAGGCGTTAAAGTCGCTTGCGATAACCACCTTGGATTCGTGCATCCCGTCCTGGGCTATCTCGCCCAGGGTGTGAGAGAACAGCTGCAGAGTGAAGTGCAGGGGCAGGGGCAGTCGCTCACTTTGGCCCGGATGAAGCCTATGACACTTAACGTACTTTCGGGCTGGCCGTCTGGAGCCCAGATTTCTGCTGATTTGGCGGAGTCTTTGATATAATTTTGGGTATCAGTTTTTTTATACGGCTCGCTGATTAGGGCTATATCTGCCTGCTTCTCTCTTAACACCTGCTCAAGTGTGCAGCTGCACAGAGGAAGCACTTTGCCTCGTTTCTGCAGAAAGCCACTTTGTGTTCTGGTTTCCACCATCTGAGACACCAATTGCTTCTGTCCGTATGTTTTTTGCAGATAGCGGCGATGTGCCCGAAGCTAAGAAACCTGAAGCAACGGCGCTGGGCCGTGCGCTTCCTGGCTCTGCACATGGTCTATCCTATCCTAATCCTGCCCTCGGACAGAATCTTAGATGGAGATTTGACTCCATCCTGATGGCCTCCTCCTGAGCCCGCATCGAGCTCAGAAAGCTGCCACTATTTCGTTCTTGGTGATTAGGTCGTCCAGGTCGCGGAACTCCAGGATGGTCTCATTTGTGACCGCTCGCATGCTGGCTGCCTCGCCTAGCACCTGGGATGGCGTCTGCCGCTGCTTGAGCGCGTTTGCCTCCTTAGTTACCACCAGTTCCAGCAAGAGTTTGTGTGGCTTTTGACCGTGTGGCTGATCTTTATGACGCTTTGGCTAACATCGTGTAGCTAACCATCTTGCCGGCGGGTGACTTAACGCATTTTCTTTCAGCTATTTGGTTTGCTCTTTGTGGATGAGGGATCTCCGCTAGGCCTTTCGTTCTCGCTACCTCGCTGTAGAGGCTCGTTCTGGTGTTGGCGTTTAAGCGTCGCTTCGTGAACTATTACTGCCCACGCTTCCCGGCTGCATCCGCACCTAGCACTTCCCTTCTGGGTTGGTCCTTCAGAAACTCCTTCAATCCCGCGAAAGAGTTCTTCATTATCTGGTTGATGCTTCTTACCTTTTGGTCGTTAACCTTTTGCCAAAAGGTCTATCAACATCGCGTCCATCTCGTCGATGTGAGTTTGAGAAGTTTTGGTCTTTTTCTGCGGTTGGGAACTACATGGCGAGGACAGATGATCCCGGCGTATGATCGCTCGCCATTTGCTTGGGAGGGGTTTCTTTCATTTGGTTTCCTCGCCCGAACCTCGCCTGAAGCTTCTTTAAGGGGTCACTTGTAGCTATCACCGGTTACCGGTTTCTGGGACACTGGTCAAGTGCGCCGCCGGCGGAGCAGTTTTTTTTTTTAATATAAGTTTGGGCTTCCATAATCCTTGCCCTGGCCGCGGAAATTTACGCGTGGGGGCTTCCGCTATTGTGGGTGACACCTGGAATTGTATTGTTTCTACCTTCAATTCCGTTTTTTTTTAATTTTATACTTGCTGCCAGGATTGCAATTTATACCTCCTGCCAGGCGACATAGCTGCCACCCAATGGCGCAGGTGTAGACCACGCCGCCGCCCAGTGTGGGTCAGACGCTGCGTGTTTTTTAGATCCATCCATCCATTTTAGGAAATCCATCAAAGCTACGATGGGAGTTGTACCACCTCTACTCGGTCGCCAGTGCCCCATTTCCCGCATGTACCGCCGCGGCTTTGGGGTTGGCATTCGGTCAGGTCCGCTACCTTTAACACCTTGACTACCTCTCTCTCTCTCTTGGCGTCCTGCGCGGATGGTACGGCTGTACTGAGCTAATACAGGTCCGTTCAACCTCTTCACACCATATTCCATATACTTCAGGTATTTCAATATTTTTGATAAAATTCTGGCGGCTGTTGGCTTTAGTTGTTTATCCATATCAGCCAAAATCCCTCTTTGCTTATTAGGACCATATATTTAAGGAATCGAAGCAGTATTTATTTTTCCGCGGCAACATTTAAAAAATAATTTATAAAAGATTAAACGTATTATTTTCCTGATAGCCGATTCACGTTGCCGCAACTCTTCACATATAATAACAAACTGTAGTATTGCCAAATTTGTTTAAGATTTCTTACTAGCAAAGCTCTTTTAAATATACAAAGGCACTTTATTAGTGCTTTTTTAAACTTTTATGTTAACGATAGCGAAAAAACACACTATTTTTTTCGCGTAGGAGATGTTGTCTTTCTTAGTTTCCCGCTACTTACACACTTACACACCACTTACTGGAAATATATTGTTGGATTAAGCAAATATAAGTGGAATTAGTAGCTCCATTATTCACATTTTATCCCACATACGATTAACCCCCAAAACCGAAGTCTAGTTGTAGCGCCAGTTTATCAATGTTTTTGGGGAATTATTTAATTTTAAACTATTTCAAAGCTAATCTACACCTACAATTCAAAATTCAGCCAAATCAGACAATTTTTACTTTTTAAACTGCTTCCATACTAAATTGATTCAGTTGTTTTTTTTTTTTCAAGCGAAAAAGTATGCAACAAAATGTTTTTGCTAAGAATCCGTAACTTTAAACTTTAGAGGTAAGTAAGTTATTAGGTCACAAGCTTCGATCTTCAAAAATACCAAAGTTGGGACATTTACAATCGTTCAGTCATGTGGCAGCTATAGGATTTATTCGTTTTATATTCGTTTTTGTAACATGCTAGACTAGCAAATCTTGATCAGCAAACAAAATGCAGCCAACCTGGTGGACTTTTAAATTAGTTAAAGACATTTATGTTTTTATTGTTCTCGGCTTTTTCTTTGAATTCTGTTTTCGGAGACAAAAAAGATAGAACTGGACTCCTATTGTACCCACGCTTTTGTGCCATGCCCACTCCCGCTCGTAAACATGAAATATTGTTGTAGCGCCAGTTCGCTTTAGTGTTTAGAAAAATTTTTTAATGAAAAACTATTCTAATGATTAATCAATACCAACAAATGGTTACAAGAGTATGAGTGAAGCATACTGGAAACTTTTAGGTACGTCTCACCCCGTAAAGGTGAAAAGCGATAAAGCGAATAAGTAAAAAAGGTAAACGGTTAAAACAGTGTGTAATAATAAATTAATAAGTTAAACTAAGAAAGGACGGCTTGAGTTACCATATTATGTTATACCTCAGCCCATCCATCCACACTTTAACTAACCTTAAAAAATGTGGCGGGAAAAACACATTTTTTTGTTCACGCAAATACTGTGCGAGTCCAAGTTCCGAGATACACGCGAATTAGTTCCGAAAAATTATAACACTTTAGTATGGAAGTCGGTATGTAAGCTACGGAAAAAGTTTTGGCAACAAAACTTCTTAAAAATATTTTTATGTACTGGCGCTATAGATATATGTTGGACGGAGGCGGTAGGGGGCATGACAAAAGTTTAAAGTAATTTGACCTGCGCTTCTGTCGTAGGAATCTTTATGCCAAATCCAATAGTTTTATCTCGTATAGATCTCAGAGATCGATGCGTTCATACGGGCAGACGGACATGGCTATATCCACTCGGCTGTTGATGCTGATCAAAAATATATGTATACTTCATGGGTTCGGAGAGGATTCCCTTTCTATGTTATAATCATATACACGAATAAAATATATCCTTGTACTCTATTAGTACCGGGTATAAAAAATAACTCGTGCTCGCACTTTTGGGTATATTTTAAGAAAAAAACCAAAATTCTTGTGCGAAATTTGATATTCCAATAGAGATAAATATTATAGACAGAAAAAATGCTAAGTATTATATTTTCTTTCCATGTACTTATACGAAACTATGCAGCTGTGCGCCAAGACAACAATAACTGCGTCCAAAAGCTTTTATTCGAACATAATGTGGCTAAATGGCAAAGAAGTTCCGTTTGAAGAAAATACACGAATTTCGCGATGTTTAAATGAAGGTAAAACAATGAATAAAATAATTCAATGTGGATGTATTAATGATTTTTTCAATTAAGTTCATCGCCTGGCTATACGTACTGGTTCTCAAAAAATACCACTGTCATGGAAAATTCACGTTGAGTCTTTTAATAACTTTCCTACCGCAGCAGGACTGGCTTCAAGCGCCGCTGGTTATGCTTGTTTGGTTTATTCATTAGCTTGCTTGTACGGCATTTCCTTAAATGATGAGTTAACTACTGTAGCTCGACAAGGAAGTGGGTCGGCATGTCGCAGCTTATATGGTGGATTCGTCCAATGGCATCGAGGAAATTTAGATAGTGGATTGGACTCTGTCGCTAAACAAGTTGTGTCATCAACATTTTGGCCAAATATGCATGTGATTATTTTAGTCGTCAATGATCAACGTAAAAATACTGGTTCTACGCTAGGAATGCAACGTTCTGTTCAAACGTCTCAACTAATTCAGTATCGTGCTGATAAAATAGTCCCCGAAAGAGTGAATCAATTAAAATCAGCAATTCACAAACGTGACTTTGATACGTTCGCTAAGATTACAATGACAGAGTCGAATCAATTTCATGCTATCGCTTTGGACACTTATCCTCCGTGTGTTTATATGAACGAGGTATCACATGCAATTGTGTCGTTTGTTCACGCTTTTAATGAATTAATGGGAAGCTTGCATGCTGCTTATACCTTCGATGCCGGGCCCAACGCGTGCTTGTATGTTTTGAAAGAGAATATTTCAAAGGTGATGTATGCAATAAATAAAGCATTTCCAAATGATTTAATGGAAAGTTCAGACTACATAAGAGGTATTTCCTTATCAAATCTGGACATAAAAACAGAAGACAATAGCTTTCGGAAAAAGATGGAATTGTTAAAAATTCAACCAGAAAATGCATTGAAGTATATAATTCACACAAAAGTTGGAGATGGCCCTCGACTCCTCAGAGCTAATGCACATTAATTCAAAAAGAAATCTTATTCTATATGAATGCCTTATATGAATTAAAGCCTTTAACCTTTTAGCTTTAAGTTGGATATGTCCCGCGACTCCTAAGAGATAATGGACGTTGATTCAAAAAACTTCGTATTCTATATGAATGCCTTATATGAGCCTTTAACTTTTTCTTTTTATTTAATTTTTTTGGTAGTAGGTAAAAGGTAGTAGTGGTAGTAGTTTAGCATCTTAAGTTTAAATATTCACTTAAAAATTTAACTTATTAAAATAATGTGCTGGGTTGAATAAAAACTTTGTTCTGTTAAACACAGTGAAATAATTATTTACATTTTTCTGTGACTTTCTTTTTGGTTTGTTGGTACACTGTTTCGGAACATTTGTATCATGTTTTAAATTTATAACTATTGTGAGGAGATTTAGTTTCCCCGCACGCCAATGCAAGGAAAAAAGGCCTAGCCGTGAGTCAGTAAGAGCGGTAAGGGTACAGCGCCGCCGCGCCGTGGGAAAGCAGAACGGCGGCGTCAGCTTTGTTTAGAAAATACGTAAATGAGAAACAACGTGGAACGTAACGGTTCTTGGAGCTGCAGCGCAACCGTGTTTAGAAAGTGCGGCTGAGCAAGAAGTAGGGAGCGATGAAAATCGGTCCCTGAAAGACCTCCGGAGCCCCTCATAGCAACAGCAGTGGTCCGTGACCGCGACCCAATATCGGGAATGTGACGTGGTTCTGAAAAGCTGTATTAACGCCAAGAGCAGTTTTAGGAAGTATTAACGGGCGCTTCGGGAAGTATATAGAAGGCACATTAGATCGAAACGGGACGAGTCTTTTTAGGAAGCTTGTAGCGTTGAGCTGGAGGCAGTAACAGCAGCAGCGATAACAGCAACATGAGCGGCCATCGACGCGCAGCGAGCAGACCCACCCAGCGCAAGTGTTTAATCAGAGTGAGCCACGACCTGAACAGGTTCCCAGGCGCCAAGGTAGCGGATCCTACCCGGCGTATGCCTGTGCGGTGTGCTTATGGACGACTTACCCGGAACGTTGACTGGTAAGCGACGGGCTGCCAACGCCGACAGCGGAGCCGAGCGGAAGCCCAAGAGAGCTGCGGCGTCCGCCGACAGAAAATAGTGATTTGTAGTGGTCCAATAGACCTTAAAAAAAAGATTTTTGTAACGCTGTACGCTGCTTGTATTCTTTCAAAGTTTCGAATCTATAGCTTTAAAACTGAGAGACTAGTTCGCATAGAAACAGACAGACAGATAGACGGACATGCTCATATCAACTCAGGTACACACCCTTCTTTCCTTTGCACGCAGTATATATGTCGGAACCGACTATATCCTATGGCTGCCATATAACTGATTCATCGGAAATGCTGTAACTTTGTTGTTTTTTAAGTTAGGGAGTTCGGATTTTGCATGAGTAATATTGCTATTTTTTGCAAAATAATACGTCGTGCCAAAGTTCATAACAATCGGTCGACTATATTCTATAGCTGCCATATAACTGAACGATCGAAATTGGTATTTGGTAAAAATCCAACTTTGGTATTTTTGAAGATAAAAGCTTGGGACTTTTTTTTATATATTTTATTGTACCTAAATGGTTTTATTATGATATTCTCAGAAGGATCGGTTATCCAGTTTTAACTGGGTATATCAACTTCGGCTCCGCCTGAAGTTAGCTTTTCTTTCTTGTTTTAAGATTGAATACTGTTTGGTTGTACCCCATATCTTGTAAATTTAACGAAGACGCCTCCGACTTTTCATTTCAACTTTACTCCTGGAACCTTTTGCGGCAACAACGCCCCCTACAAACATTTGGTCCTTCGAGCCGGATAATTCCTGGATTTTCTTCTGCCAGCAGTTCCCATTAAATTTCGTTCGCAGATATTTCCATCCGCCTCCGTTTTGTGTGCTGCCCATATTCCTCGCCGTTTTCGGCCTTTCCGTTATCCATTCGCTTGCCAACGGTCGAGGCACCCACATACATACATACACACTTACATATTTTTGTTTGTGGAATTAATCCACGAAAAATTCGCAAGTGAACAGTGAAATTGTGTGCTGACAAAAAGAAGGCATAATTAATATTGGCCAGCCGTTGTGAATTAGTTCCGGAATTTCCAAATTCACCGAACAGTCCGCCGCTGTCGTAATATTTGTTTTTTATCTTCCTCAATCAGTGTCATTTTTTACACCACATAACTTTTCTGTTCCCCCAATTATACAGTCCACTGTGCCAACATATGCCCACATGCCCTTACATATATCCGTACCTGTATGCATGTCCATATATTTTCTGCCTTCAATTCCAGGAAATATATAACCGATAAAATTTAACATATACAGTCCACTTATCGACGTTCCCCTGTGCCATTATATGCCCCACATGCCCTTGCCCTACTTGCATGCATGACCATATATTTCCAAATATTTTCTGCCTCCAATTTCAGGAAATATATAACCGATAAAATGAAAAAAAAAAATTTTTATTTCCTAAAACCAACATTTATAAACCGCCAATTATAAAACGCCATTTCACTCAAAATCCGTGAGTGTGTCGCTTAAATTCAGACCTAGCCGTGTTGTGTTTTTTGCTGCTGTTTTTTTTTTCCTTTGGGGTTCGTACAGGATGCCGACGGCATAACCGGCTGCGTAACAACTCACTTCAACCGAAAAATAAATTAATTATAAATTTATATATTTATAATTATAACCACCACAATTTATTTAATGAATATTTCCGTTCGAGAGAAGGGTCAGTTTTGTTTTAAGTCTCTATTCCGGCCACTCAACAATTAAAATTATTTAAAAAAATTAATAATCGAAAATTATTAATAATTTAATTATCAACCTTCTGTCCGAATAGAGACGCGGTTTCAATTCCACCTTTCCGGCTTCGGGATAACTAAATCCAATAAATGAAAGATTAAGGTTTCAAATCCACCCTTCCATAATAATTAAATCCGACAATTAGCCAAAAATTAATTATTATTGATTATTTATTTTTTTTTGTGTTAAATACAAGCCAAGGTCAAGTCCACCTTTCCGACTCGCAAGTTCGAAAAGAGTTAAGGATTCAATATCTACGTAGGAACCACACTTGTATACATATACATATATACATATATACATATATAGTTCGTCATCAATTTGTTTTTCGAACGAGCACGAATTTTTCCATTTTCCGGGCCTCCAACGCTGCTTCTACTCCGCATCAGGCAACATCCGCCTACAATCTGAGCAAACCTCGCTCCTTTTGGGTTTTTCTGGTGCCTGAAACTTTTCTTTCTAATTCGAATTGGGCCGCACACGACTTTCCTTTCGACATCGGCGCCACTAGTTAACTAGTAGTCCACTAGGACTACATTAAAAGGAAGCAGCTATGTTTGAACTGTTTTGCCCGAGGGCACCAGCAACGAGACTGCACGAGCGCCCATACCTGCTTCACATGTCACAGCCGACACCACACCCTTCTGCACCTCGGCAATCCGTTCGCCACCGCTCCAAGTCCGCCTACGACAGCAAGGCCTCGACTCGCACAGACTGCCAAAAGCACAAACGGCTCAGAGGATCAGTCGGATGTACAGGTGTGTTTCGCTTCCGGGTCAGGAGCCGTCCTACTAGGCACGGCCCTTATCAACGTGTGCCATTTGGGGTGCAGCTTCCAGGCACGAGCACTGATAGACTCAGGGTCCGAAGCGACCTTCATAACGGAACGACCGTTCAACCTCGTCAAACCACCCTTCAAGACGATTAAAGCCCAAGTTTCCGGCCTTAATCAGACCATTTCCGCGCAGTCTACTAAATTGTGCCATTTCTCCATTCGGTCGCCAACTAGACCCGGGCTACAATTAGAGACTGCGGCTTACGTTCTTCCGCAGTTGGCAGGAAATCTGCCATCATATCCGATTTCGCGAGATCTTCTCAAGGGGCCCGACATTCCCCTGACGGACCCCAACTTCTTTGAGAGCTCCCAAGTCGATGTGTTATTAGGAGCTGACATTATTCCGTCCATTCTCCTCGGTAATCCCAAGGCTAACATCTGCGGGTCGCTTCTCGGTCAGAAGACCATTTTCGGATGGGTGCTGACAGGCCCATTATCCAGCCAACCCCCGCAGCGTGTCTGTTTTTTCCGCTCGAGTTGCCCGCATCCTCGGTGACTCACTGGATTAGGGAGAGGTGCCCACACGGATTAGTTCGGAATCGGACTCAGGTTGCGGGCACAATTCTGTCTCGACTCCTTCTTTAATTTACGCATCGCATCACGCTGCACGGTGGCAATCAGCTGATGATCCGTCTGATCCGGGCCAAATTCTGGATTCCAAGATCATATTCAGCACGATGTCGCCACGCCCACGCAACGCCCAGTCACTGGAGAGCAGATGTACTCGAGGTACACAATCCTACCGATGCCGAGTCTGCAATGGGATCCATCCATTGAAGAAGTGTCGGCGCTTCCTACGCCTTAGTGCCGAGGAGCGGCTCCGAGCGGTTCTCGTGAACCGCTATTGCTCGAGCTGCCTGGCCTACGAGCACTCCGACGGATCCTGTCAGCGTGGGGACGGCTGTAAGACGTGTGGTCAGGATCACCACACGCTGCTGCACCCCGTGACCAAGGAGCACCGGTCGCGGAGCGCCGGAGACAGTACACGGGGTGTCTCGCTCTCTCGTCGGCCGTCATCCGTCAACTCCCGGCGCGGTTCGGGTGCTTCTCGGCCTGCTTTCCTCCGCCATTCATCGGGTGCCGTCCACCGCTCGTCCGCCCGCGTCATCCGCGCCTAGGAAATTTCCCGCCTCTCCTCGAGGGCCCCTGCAGGACGCGGTCGCTGCGCCCACCCTCTCGTCGCTGCTGAAGCGGAACCGCGTCAACACCGGGATCCGGATCTTCGACACGGGGGCCTTCATCGACCTGTGTACGCCCTCGAGATGCCGTGACGAGTCGCTAACGACGAGGGATCTGTGAGGGGCCGTTGGGCCGCTGAACTAAAGAGCGCATCCGCGCTGAAGAGCGCACCCGCACTGAAGAGCTCATCCGCGCTAAAGAGTGCATCCGCGCTCGCCCCTCTCGTCGTCGATCGTCCGCTCTGGCTTATATTTACGTTTAGCGTTTATTCTTTCTAAGTTAAGTTTAATCCAATGTAAGCAGCCCAATAAAGCTGAACGCGCTTCTTGTAAATTTAACGAACACGCCCTCGACTTTTCATTTCAACTTTACTCCTGGAACCTTTTGCGGCAACAACGCCCCCCTACAAACAATTTAAAACAAATTTGATGGAAGTGTGTTAAGAAATCATTATAGGCTAAAGTACTTTGACATACTGTAAAA